GTATATAGTTTATTATTTAAGTTACTCTCTCTCTCTCTCTCTCTCTCTCTCTCTCTCTCTTTCTCTTTATTCATGTTATTTATTAACGATATACCAACGCGAGTGAAATCTCTTTATGCCACATCATAATGTAATCTTCGTACATTATCTGACTGTAGTTGAAATAATTGAGTCTCACTCATGTTGAAACCGAAATCTTTCTTTCACAAGACATTTGAAACTTATTTGTCACAAAATAAATTGGTATAAATGCGCAATGATGTAGCAAATAGCAATGCAGTCATAATAATTACTTTATTAATAACAAAGAAAATTCCAGCAATTTAAATTTAAAAAAGATTGCCATTTCTTGTCCTTCTGATCTCTCAATAAAAATTGGAAAAAATTGGAAAAATTTATGCTAATGTCTTTTCACTTCTGTATGTTTCAGTTCGAGGTCTCGCCAGTGTAATGACACCCTCGCTATGTTTGTTGGTGGCCGTGGTATTACAACAGTTTCTGCTGCCCGTGTAGACTTTTCCGAAGCGAGGAGGACATCAAAACGACTCTAAATGCGAGAGAAAACAGGGAGGAGGCGGATCACGAAGGAAATGGAAGGCGAGAGACGAACAACGTTTCGTGATGAAAGACAATCATATCTTAATACGAAGCGAACTGCGACGAGAAATCGGGGGATTCGCGTCAGACTTGTCGATCGTTATCGCAAACGGCGAACGGCAGCGCGTCCTTGCGATTTTTGCACGTCGCTGCGTCTTCTCGTTAAACTGGAGGAGAATCGAGCGTTCAGTCGTTCAAGGCATCGATCGCTCGTCGTTGCCCTCGAGAGTACATCCCCCCATCTCTTCGAGACACACGTAAAATCCTAGATAGCCTAATTAATCGCGGAAGAAAATACGCGATAACCAAGTGGACACTCAAAGTTCTCGCACGTACGAGGAACCTCCTCCTCGACGCTCGTCTATTCTGTTAGGGATCGATATTTGCATCGTTACTCGTGAAATAGATTTAAATCGGCCGCACTCGGGGGTTCGAACTCTCGATAACGAGAAGAAACTTTTTGAACTTTCCATCTTAATTATATAAGTTGGAAAATTAACTGATTTTACAGCCATAAAATAAAATTTGTGAATAAAATTTCATTAACAAATTTTTATGGATTTAACAGAAATTGCCAATTGGGGCCATCGTCTGACGAATACTGCATAAAACTGAGACATTGATTTCTGCCTCTTTTGCAAGTTTAAATCTCGTGAATCCTTATCTTTTACATATCACTTTGTTAATAGTTCAAAGAAGTAAGAGGCGCAGTCATTCAGAATCATGGATGAGGAATGAGATTTTGCACCGAAGATGGAAGGAGAAAGAGTAAGTACCTTAACATCGTATCAGAAATAACACTCACTCATTGAAAGACTAAAAATCCATTTGGCAGTGCGAGTAACGGCGATATCGATTCCCATGCAATTTTCGTTATAATATGACACTGCAATCCTTTTAAATTGCAATCCTTTTTTATCTGCAATATTTTTGGAATAATATCAATCAAGATATGCTTGATATTTTTTGTTTCGATTTTTTTTTGGCTTATATTCGAATCGTGTTCAAAAATAATTTAAATAAAAGCGACAATGTATACGAAGAGATATCTCGGAGAAGTAACTTTAAAAATGACATATAATTTCTTGTCAGTTCTAATTTAGAATCTTCTTCCGTGATATATACAGCTATGAAATTGTACAACCAAGAGAAATCAATTTGAAAGCGTCGAGAACGTTGTACCTCAGGATTCGAGAACATTTCTCAGCGTGATACCGTTATCAGTGATAACGGCGCAGCATTTGTTATCGAGATGCAATCGTCATCGATTGTATGCATGCCGCGGCCGAATGTATATACAATACTTAGGTAGACACATTTTCATCGAGCCCCGTCGTAAGCTTCCTTTATTCTAATTATAATTCTTAATTCATACGTGTGATTAATATAATAAGCCAGAAAGGAACTCGCGTTCTCCAGATGTATCTCACGAACATTCTCTCTTTTGCTGCATAATGCACCATCATGCCTAAAAATCATTGGATAAGTGCGAAAGAAGGATTTTGTCGCTAGGGTAAACAGAGATGAATAGAATCACATTTATTAATACAGAAAAAAATATCATAATGAGTTTTAAAAATCTTACACATTGTTATACAAAATATCCGTAAATAATGGATGACTTAATTTTTATTACTGTTATTTCTGACATTCGTAACTCATTTACAAATTATTGAAGCTCGAGTATTTAAAATAAAAAAATTTGATAAATTGCAATTATTTGAAATATCGCAATTAAATGAAAAAAAGAACAAAATTAAAAAAGCGTTTGTATTTCAATTTAATATTTTATTTAAAAAAAAGTTTTTAAAAATATTTAATTAAGATAAGAAAGAAGACAATTTATTTACATATTATAATTATAATAATAAATAGTTGTAATTTACTTATAATTTTATCTAAGTAAGTAGTCGATCACATGTGTAATACCAATGAACATTCACAAGTTCGTAAATTAAAAATCAGATCCCGTAAAATGTTAAGGAGCTCATTGGCTTGCTGTTTGCCCTCTCGCATTTCGACACCTGCGAGATCATACAAACGCGTAAAATGGGAAACGAACACCAGAGCTGCAGCATGCGCGAAGTGTTATTCTTTTTTTATCGCGTAAACACATACATGTATATAAACATATATGCACGAAACAGCAACGGCCGCCATCAACGATCGCGAGCGATCGGAAAATATGATTCATACGCGTAAGCCGATTAATTTGCAAAGTTCAACGTACACACACGCTGACGTAGATATTTATACAGGACTCTCCGCGGAAATGCGTTATTTTTTCACCCGAGATTAATAGTTGTTACATTCCAGCGTCCCGATGTGTTTTTACGTGTCTCGCTGGCGCAATCGTACGTCGCCGCGATCGACAGCTCGACGTAAATAAATAAATATAATGGCGCCAGATTTTCCAAGTACGGGACGCGAGCGGGAATGAAATTCCTTATATAGTATATTCTCAGGTTTCAATGAAACGGATCCACAGGAATATTAGACTTCATGAGAATATTAGATAAGAGAATATCCGCGGATTATTAGATATCGCATATTAAAGTTTAGACGCGCTTTCCGAGAGGACGATTCGATAAAGTATTCAATTCCAGTCTCGAAGGTTTGCGCGCGAGATATCAGCCTTTGCTTTCGTCGCGGATACAATTATCTTCCGCGGAAAATCCGCTCGTACGCGAAACGATATCTAATGGGGAGCCTTCGAACGCATTTTCGCGCGTGACTTGTACCATTAGCCCCATTATCGCGACTCTCAGCTATGCAAATTCCGAATTTGTATCGCGGATTTCATAACCGGAATGAAGCGGCAATGAAGCGTTACCGAGATATAAACGCGCACGTGGAAACAGGGTTACGTTTATTCATTCTTTGTTTCGCCTTTCCTTGACGTATATTTTTATCGACAGCGTGCAACGAATACGAGACCGTTAAGCTCTTCCAGCTCCACGCTTCCCATCTCAGAAATCGATAACTTCGTAGATAACGGTGGCAAGGTTTCGTGATCATGGGATTGTTCGCGGGATGTGCCGCGTTTATACGAGGAGTGAAGCTGTAAAGAGGAACGCGAGCGTGCAGCCGTTCGTTTATGGCAATTTCGTGTCGGGAACTTGGGTGTTGCGCGCGGTTTTGTTGGCGAATGTGTGGAATCTAGCACCAGCCGCATTTCAGCGGGGATATACATTCTACGGGGGCGAATAAGAGATCGTTCCGTGTATGATTTTTAGCGAATTATTATGGCGTGTGTGAAAAGTTCTGCGTGATCGGGGGTTGTCTCTTTGGCATGCAAAAGACCCGCCGGAACTTTGAGGTGGGAGTCGAGAAGAATTTATCATTAATCCTGAGCAACGTGCTGCGTCACGGCTTAAGAAGGTAACACGTCATCATGACAAAAGATATATATACCATATTAATTACGTATACGTATAACAGTACGTCACTGTACATACATTTGCTCCGATTCCTTTTTATGCGATCCGTAATTAGTATCCGGAATGTGTTGGCGCAAGTAGATGGCTATCTGGAAAAATAATTTGTCATTTTAAATGTGGACAAGCTTTGGTATCTATATAATGTAAAAAAAGAAATGCACGAAATCTCCTCTCTGATATGAATTATTAATGCTGATTAAAAAATTTTTAAACAGCACTGAGGACGTGAAATAATAAATAGTCGAAATGATCGTTCTGGTTTTAATTTGTAAATCAGTAAATTTTTCACATAATTATTATCGTATGCATTTATCAGAGCAAGGTTTTTTTTAGTAATAAATACTGTCAGGCTTTTTAATATATCATTCGATATGAAAAATTTCTACAGTGCATAAAATTCACGTTACATCCAACACTTTATTTTCGAGCTCCAATTATCACACTTCGCCATATAGTTAATATACTTCGCCTGCACGTTTAACCGCACTCGACGTACAAAAACTGTACATAGCTGATACGTCTTTTCTGATTACGACAGGAGAACGCGAGGTATTTTACATTTACATATTCCGGCGAGCAGGCTTTAGCTTTTCATTTGCTTTGAAGTGTCGTTGGGCGGCAGTATGTTTTGCGACTTATCGAGGACATATCTCCAATATTTACGGCGGCGTTGGCCGAGCAAAGAATTGTACATACCCTGTATATAACTGCGTTGTAATATATAATAGTAAAGGATTATTCGAAGGAGGACCGAAGAACTTCGCATTCCGGAAGTCTCAGTGTGTGATTAAACGAATGCTGGGTATTACGATCTCGCTTCCGGCAGGACGATGACGGAAGTATTTATCCATATTGTGGAAGTGTTCAAATGGTGTGTCTTGAATATAGCGGGACACTGCCAATACTGATAAGAGAGATACGCGAGGACGTGCAAAGACGCCTGTATCTTTCGCTCGCGAGGCGAGATGTGTAGTTATTAAAAGAAGAAAAAAAATAAGACGATGTACTCGGTGTTAGCTTTCAGTTGTAACGAGCTTCTGGACACACAGATACGTGTTAAAAGAAACATACACAGTACACACACACACACACACACACACACACACACACACACACACACACACACACACACACACACACATCATATACAAAATACCGATGCGAAAATAAATATATGTACCTCCGTACACACCTGTGTTTTTAAGGCGGTAAACGCGCGAGAGGATCTTCGCCGTCACGACGACGAAGAATCGAGCATGTTCCGTTCGTCAGAAGATATCGAGAAATTTACGAGAAAAATTACGTTCTTATGTGTATGGCCTAATGTATATATCTCGCGAATTTAGTAATAAATCATATTTCATTATACCCGCGGCTTTTATTATCCCGAAAGCCCAAATTGACAGTACAAATTTATATTGAAACGTTTATAATATAATAATTATTGCTAAAGTGCTGATATATATATACTCTTTGCAGATGAAGGGTAGGATTAGACAAAATCAAGATTAAAACGCTCGGTCTTTTGTTATGAAGACAGCTCAAGCCACGGATTAGTATGAAAGTCGTTAATTATTATTTATTTTGTCCATAAATGTGACATAAACGAGTTAACGGTGATGTGTATGCACGAGAAACTACAATAATATTATATTATTTTCATTTTCTCACTAACTCCATCCTCTGAAACAAATCCGCTGTGTAAAATAACTCGTATTTCGCGGATCGTGCGAGGTGAGCTCGATAGAGAATAAACGCGCCGGGAAACCGCGATCCTTCGTGTTCAGGGATAATAATTGAGCGTAATCGAGAGAACAGGAAAGAGAAAGACGCCACTGAGGATGAGCTAGATAGAATTTGAAATCTCCGGCCGATGTAAACGGTTGGTCTACCGGCCGTTTTCTTGGTCGGCTGATCGTAGACCGCCGGAAAGCGATTAACGCTAACGACTCGTGCGAAATTCGTAGGAAAAGGAGAGAGAAAGAGAGAGACGCGGAAGAAGGGAGAGAGAGAGGGAAGGAGAGCGGCATGTCGGCGTTTGAATATGTATCGATGCATATTTTATCGGGCGTTATCGGAAAAGATTCTCGCGAAATCCCAAAATCCCGCAATACGAGGCGAACCAAAGCCGGGCGTCGCGTGGTTACAATGTCACGGCGTAGCGGCATTATAATATCGTATAATTGTAATATGGTTGCATTAACAATGGCAATATTGTGGCTGATCATTGAGCGTTGGGACATTTTCTATGGGCGCACGTGCCATAACTTCGGAAATAAGCATGAAATTAATTATCGTTCCCCGGCATACCAAGTTAACTGCGCTTGTTTAACGTTATTATTCGCCGTTCGCATACCACGCTAACTGCATTTATTTAAAGTTACAATATAAATTACTGCGTAAAGAGTTATAATATACATTATAACAACTATGTTTTCCTCTTTATGCACTTATTGTAGTATACAACAGTTCACATGCGGCCTGTGCATCAAGGTACAGTCAATTATTACATTGGACAATCGTAATGTAGATGTAATTTGCGTAATTTAGTTATTTATCGTTGCGGTTTTTATTAATCACTGTTATTTACGATCGTCAAATATACTTGCTATGAAAATTGTCGCGCTTCTCTCATCGCCCACCACCGATCAGAAGTCATGTCCGACAAGATTCGCGAATCTCTTCGTCCGCACCGCGATCCTCGTGAATATTGATCGGTCACCTAATCGGTTCTTGGCATAATGGACCAAACAATTCCCATGGTACGCGTAATAAAGCAAGTCCGTGTAAATGAGCCGCCATTGGAAAATCGACAACAGGCGATGCGGACAGATACTATCTGCTAGCATATATCCGATACAGGCATGGCTCGTGCCAGAAGCATTGATCGCGTTACCAGCACATGAATAAGCGCCGCGAAAGGAGGGACCATAACGAGGACAGGCGGACAGGAAACGGAGGGGAAACGACCGGTCTGGGACAGAGAGCGCGGAGTGGCGGACGCGCGGAAACGAGGATGTTTGAGCGCGAAACTCATCTCCACATCCCCTTGACTTTTACAAATTCACTTTGATCCGGTTAGTATTGACACGGGTGGACAAGCTTGATTTATAAGCGAGAGTGCGCGCGACACGTCATGAGTGCAT